CTCCAAAGAGAAAAGCCCAAACAAAAAGAAAGAAAGGAAAAGAAAAGAAAAGAAATTGCCTTCTGTATGAACACGCACAGACTATAATAGTGGTCTGTTCAATATTTTGATAGCCTCGTTTTTGCCTAATAACTGAAATTAGACAGTAAGCACAATTGAACGAGTAACGACATTTCAAATTTGCCCTTTCTTTCTTTATTTTGTTCATTCTTTATTTCTTCCATTCTTTGTTTGTCTCTTCCTTCCTTTCTTTGTTTCTTGTTTGTTTCTATCTTTCTTCCTTTCATTGTTTCTTTGCTTCTTTTTTCTGTCTGGCTTTCTTTCTGTCTCTTTCTGTCAGGCTTTCTTTCTGTCTCTTTCTGTCAGGCTTTCTTTCTGTCTCGTTCTGTCAGGCTCTCTTTTTGTCTCTTTCTGTCTCTTTCTGTCTCTTTCTGTCTCTATCTTCCTGGCTTTCTTTCATTGCAAACAAAAGGCAAGCGTTCGATCCCCTAATTGATACATTTTTATTAAGAACCCAATCTGTCTGCCTAGATGTTGTATCCCGCTCAGCCACCCGGGTTCAACCTTATTCGATGGGGACGTAAAATATTGACGATAAGTCCAACATCATCCTCCACAGAGTCGACTGTACATCACACTGACCAACTGACCTGACCTGCACACACAGACACAGAAAGAAATGGACAGCAGGTGGTCGCTGGCCTTGTGGACACTCCTCTTCACGTCCTTGACCCTCCCCGGGGCAGTGACGTCACACCCTCAAGATGGCGGCGGGGTGAGAAGTCAGAGGGGGGACGCCCGACTTTTACAGGACGTTCTGAGGGGTCTGGAGAAAGCCGCCAACTTTTTCCGTGAAGACTTCAGCTCTATCAACGTGGACGGCTTGTTCGGCATCCGGGTCGCTCAAGGTGAGTTGGGATTTTCCAGGGGCAAAGAGGTTATATTTAATACTAGGGTTCGCGGCAGTGATGTCCCCCAAAGAGGTTATATTTAATACTAGAGTTCGTGGCA